ATGTCATTGAGCCAAAAACTGAACATCCAACTGTATCACTGGAGCTATCAGCTGAGGCACAAATAAGAATTATCTATATTCCATTCTCATCAAATGCTTCTTAAACATAATTTATTATATTGAATTTATTTTATCTGATTACTAATAAAATGTCAAGGAAGATTAAAATTGCAGACCTCTACAACAAAATTTTCTATTTTAACTTCAACAGCTAATGTTAGTTGGAAATTTTTTTCAGTCTCCTTAGATATTCATGTCAAGAATATTATTTTTTTCCACTAGCAGAATATATACTTGGTAAAAAAAAAAAAAACTGACAATTTTGTTTTTTAAATCAAATGCTCTTGGGCCTAAATTCAACAAGAATTTAGATGAATTTTTCTAATTTATTCTACAGTTGTCTCCAGACTACAAATTTTATTAGGGCATAAGCTATGTCTTATACTTGTTGTACCTTAGTATTTAACAAAGCACTTGATGGCAGTCTTGAACTCAAGCATAATTATTTCAAGTGAGTTAAATGTAATTATTTTTATCCGTGTTTGATATTTGTTATTTAAATAGACAGTAGTCTCGCGTTTACTGTTTCTTATTCACTGGCACCTGCTCAGTACAAAAGATTTAACAATTTACTTATAACATGAGAGGATCCTGTAAGATGAATAGGTGTTCACCACATATCAATAAGTTTTATTAGAGAAATATTGGGCAATACTTTGCAAAATGCATCCTTTGTTTTCCTAGAATTCAAATAACTAAACATCTCACTTGAACCTGTTGTTTCATACATATATTATTAGAAATGAACAGAGGCTACCTCTGCCAATTAGTTTTCCAAGATAAAAATATTATTTTAAACAAGGGAATTTCTATTTAGTAACTGAAGTGCTTCCAAAGACTCTGGAAGAGCTGCTGAACAGTCTTGCATGTTGTACTTGTGCAGGGACTCAGAGCTACACAGAACTAGTTCCTTAGGCCACTGCCTTTCTGAGTCTGCAAGTGGAGCTCAGAGGAGCAATAGTTTTCACTGCTGCCCTACAAGTGGACACCGAATACAGTGCAGAAATGTTCTTGCTTTCAAGATCTTACCCTCCAGCCACAGGAGCCAGGAGCTACCAGAATTTGGCTTTTGCCTCCCAGCAGCCCTCAGAGATGGACCCTAGCAAATCTAATTGGCTGGAACTCATTCGTGGGAAACATGACAGCTACAAAACAGTCTGCAATGTATTTCTTCGCTTTCCAATAGTGCATAGAATTCCAGTTCGTAAATATATGTTAAAATCAATTCCTGTTAGTCATTTTTAAAACAGTTTAGTAGAAAAGCAAAATCAAAGACTGAACTTAGAAAATATGGGTAAAATACTAGTCTAACCTTTGTTAACATAAACCAGTCATGTTTTCTGTGAGCTTTGGTTTCCACATATTGTACTAACATCCGGGCCTCCCAATAGGATTATTGTGAGGTTCATACTATATGTAAATGTAAAAACATTTAACACAGATAAGCACCAAGCAATTGCAAACACATATGCCCAATTGGAACGATTTTTAAAAATAGAATAACAAAAATGACATCAGTTCAGTAGCTGTTACAGCTTCAGTGCTTTATTATTCTTTTGTACATATTAGTTTCGTTAAAAGTGATCACTATTTTGGGCCGAGGATTTAGCTCAGTTGTTCCACTGCCTGCTTCATAAGGGCAACATCCTGAGTTCAATCCCTGCTATAAAAAAAAAAAGTGGTGACCATTTTTATATACAGTCTGAAATTTACCACTATATCTTATTCTCTACTTAACTGGAAATTTTAGAAATATGAGATAAAATCAAACTGCACTGAAAATATTTTTGCTGGTGTATTCTAATATGACAATTCTTGAATCTGATGAGAAAGTTGTTCTAACAAATAAAAAGCTATATTTGAATTTATGTGCTCTGTCATTTATATCTGTTTTATAGAGTTTCAAGTGCTCCTTATATTTACATTGAAAACGCTTTCAAATTGTGTAATTTTTGTGGTCTTGTAGAAATTGGATGTTTAGTTCATTTTTCAGTTGGCCAAGTCTCAGTGACATGAGATTTAAACTGTGGACAGGAAAGAATGAAGGTTTCTAGTTCAGTAAGTCCCTGGATAACAGGCAAAGAGTTACTAGGGAATTACTTTTCACTTTGTGTTATCATTTAGACTGGAAAAATATAAACTCATAATTACCCAGTATGATTTACTATTTTGATTGAGCTCCAGTTGCCAATGTGATAAGATGACCTTATGAACAGGATAGATTGAGCCCCTAGAAATCAATAAGTATAAAATCTTTTTACTGACCCTTCCTTCCCACACACCAAATCAATTGCTTTTTACCTTCTGCTTTTTCATGAAAAGTTCTACAATTCATTTTACTACCTGTCAAAAGTGAAATGTCATTTTTTTAAGAGATACATTTTTGTTTGATATTTCAATTCCCTTAACTGACTTTATTTTTCCTCTCTTTATTTCTAAAATACTAACATACTCACCTAGCACCTTTGGTCCTAAATTTGGAATAAAACATTTTACAGTGATAAAAAGACTAACAAATTATTATTAAAACTATTAAGATTCACACACTGCATTTGTTTTATTCTTCAAATTTAGGATAAGACATACAAAAGTTCATATGTATCACTAAATAGAATGGTAAGAGTCAAACAGTTATTTTTCCCATTTGTTTTGAATCAGAAATACAAGCAAGGCAACAGTCAGAAAATTATATTTTCCAGACAAAGGGGATTGAATGCCCTTGACTATAGGTTTCCATTATGCAGAAGTTCACCTCTATGTCATGCAGTATATCCACAGACTGGCAACATCTGGTCTACTGGAAAATTGCTCATCCCCATGGACACTGGGATCATTCACTGGACAGCAAGAAGAAACTGGACTGACCTAAGGCTTCTTCTAGCATGGTATATGGCTCCCAATGTTGGGTCAGGGTTATACTATTGTCTGAGCTCTTTAGTAACTTCCAATTACTTGTTAGTGGACCTTCTCAATCTTGTTGCATTTTGAAAACTGCATGTTTCAGGGCTGGAGCTATAGCTCAGGGCTAGAATGCTTGCATTAGACCCGAGGTTCATTCCTTAGTGTGAAAAGAAGAAAGGAGGAAAGGAGAGAGGGGAGAAGGGAGGGACAGAGGAGGCAAGAAAGGAAAGACAGAAGGAGAGAAGGTCGGAAGGAAGGAAAGAAATAGGGAAGGAGAAAAATACCAGCTCTTGGAAGATGAATTTTTCCTCTGCACACGTAAGAAACGAGTTTTCCCTAGTGCCCCACAAAAGACTGCAGCTCATTTTGCAACATTGATTTCATAATTCAGTCTTTCTACAGAGCCATTTATTGTAATAGATATTAGCACACATAGTCTTGATGAAAGAGAAGTGAATTTGTCCCTGCAGTGAGGGTCATTCCATGAAAGAAAGAATGAGGGAGACTTCTTAAATATTTAATGCACGTCTTCTAAGGTCAGTGTGGCATGACTTAGACATTGTAGATGTGTGATCCATTTACTGCTTGTTTATGACACCACACTTAATTCTTTTCCTATGCTGTGTACCATGTAACAGAAAATATAAATGGCAATTGTCAAGTCAACACTTGGTATTCTGTTATTGATTCAATCAGCTTTCATATGACTGTATATTGTCATTTATAACCTCAACTGATGAGATTCAATCCTACCAGGAGCCTTTATAAAGCAGATAACCATTTAAAGGGAAAGGTATAAAGCAGTAGAAATTAGAAAATTGCAAATCTATTTCATGTGCCTAGCAATATAATACTATTCTTTGACATTGTTTTCATATTCTTTTTTAAATTTATGCCTATTTTCCTTCAGAATGGACAGTTTACTCAAGGTAGATATCTCCTAGAAGAGTGTTTGCTTTATAAAAATAAACTGAGTTACCAAAGTTTCAAACCAAGGGCAGAATTTTAACCTTTACCTTTATTTATGCTCTCTATTTACATCACTGGATCTTACGTGCTAATCATGTCTGTCTTTTCATCTTACCACCCATTACCTGATACTGTTATCCTTTTTCCCTTCGTCTACATCAGAGAAACAGCTTCCTAACAGTGTTCTTTACTCAGTTCCTCAGGTGCAGCTCACCCTGATGTGTTGCTAGAACTTTCTGAAAACATAGAGCCAATCTTAACCCTTCATTCTTCGACTATTCAAATAGAATTAATTCCAAGTTTATTGGGCCGGGGATTTAGCTCAGCGGTTCGGTGGCCTGTTTAATTCCAAATCCTTCTCTTAGGTTAGAAAAGTCACCCTTGTAGCTCATACACACCCTATGGTTTTCTTAAACACTCTGACCCCTGTCTGTCTTGCTCCCCCTTCCTTTCTTTCTTTCCTCCCTCCCTTCCTCACTTCCTCTCTTTTTCTCTCTGCTCTTCCATTCTCCATCTTTGGACACTTGCTCAAGTTATGCAATTTTTATTTGTTTCTTTGGTTTTTTTTGGGGGGGGTTCTTTGTTTGTTTGTTTTTTCTTTTTTTGAGACAGGTTCTCACTATGTAGTTGAGACTGACCTGGAGCTCACTATGTAGCCCAGGCTGGTCTCAAACTTACAGCGATCCTCCTGCCTCAGCCTCCTGAGTGCTAGAATTATTAGGCACGTGCCACCACACCAAGCTTACATTTTGCATTTTTAAATCAGTTTCATTTCCTATGTCTATCTGAAGAAGAGCCAAATTCACTTCCTATCTCCTCCCCTCAAAAATTTTCTGTATTCAAAATTCAGAGTTAATCTCTCACATCCCCAAAGTAATCACTACATCTATTATACCATCAGAGCTCTAAAAATTATGAGCTGCAGATTTTAAAAAATCATCCTGCTAATTTTCTGTTTTTAAATTTCTCAAACTCAGCATAGAATACATCCTAACCAGAGAAAAGTGGAAACAATATTGACTGAATCAACTGACCACACGGCATCACGATATTCTTCTGGCTTCTTTCAGGAACACGGAATACCTGTCAGCATGGGCTATGCTGTGGCCCCTCATCACTCAGGGGTCTACCCTGTTCATATTCAGCTGTATGCAGCTTGGAAGAAGGTCTGGGGTATTCAAGTCACCAGCACTGAAGAATATCCACATTTAAAACCTGCACGGTATAGAAAGGGCTTCGTCCACAATAGCATCATGGTGAGCACATAATTGTGTGTTTTTTAAAGGCTCTTGCTATCTTCGTGTGGAATGACTTCTGATTGACATTACTCATAGGGATGCATTTTCACCCTCTTTTACAAGAGTATCAGAAATTCCCAAAGTATCGCTGTGGTGGCTGCTCACGTGGTAACGTGGTGTTTGGCTCTAGCCTTTCTTCTGAATCTGCGGAATGACTTAAGAAGTCTAAGACAAGCTAGAAATACTGAGAATGAATTATACGTAGCTTATCTACTGAAGTTTCAGGGCTGAAATTTTGTCTGGCGATTCTACATCCTTCCTCTGAGGCATCTCTCAGTACTGTTCATTTCAATGGTTTCATAGAGTGTTTAAGGCAGAATGTGGTTCCATGGACAAAGAAAACACCTCTCAAATTGCTGCACTAACAGCAGACAAAAGAGAATAAATAGATTCTGAGAGCTAAATCTATCCACTCGGTATATTTTGACTTTTAAAGACCTGCGATGTTTTAGGATACTGATCTCTCTCATTATCATTTCTTGTGTACTCGGAGAGAGATGGTACATATACACTGAAAAAATAATGATCTGGTTTAAGAATGTTGCATTGCTTATTATAAATGACAATAAAATCAAATGAATTCAGTTGTGAATTTACAATGTTGTTCAATAAGTTTATTGGTACTTTTTAGGTATGCAGTACAGTTACATTCATCACTGGGATCTCATACCATTCTTTACATGATGTATCTTGGTTCATATTTTTCCCCATTCCCCTGCCCCGGGAATTTACAATTATTCATTAGACTAAAAATTGATAGCATTCACTTTGATCTAAAATAGCCTCTTTTGAAATGTCTATCCACATTTCCAGTGTCTCAAATGAAGCTCTTTTCATTAATTGTTAAGAACAGAAAGAGCATTTGCAAAATTTCTCCCACTATTAAATATTTACCCTATTTCAATCCATTACTCACATTACTTTTAGAATTATATTTTGCCCCATCTATCTGCCAATCTATCCATCTAAATGCTGTCTAAAATGAAAGAAAAGGCAAACATGCCTAATCAGAGCTGGTTCTTAAAACTCATTTATCGTGAAAGAAAGAAAACTAAAATTTAAATAAACACATTGGTAGTGTGAATATTGACCCTGATTGATGTCCATAGAAATCTGAGAGGTATTTAAAAATTAACTCATAATTTCTTTTTTAATTTTTATTTTTGGTTCCAGGGATCAAACTCTGGACCTTGCACTTGCAAGGCAGGCAGGAGTACCGCTGAGCTTAATCTCTGGCCCTACTCTTATAATTTAATGTAAGAGTGACAGTACACAATTTTTTTCTTGTTAGATTGCATGACCGTTCAACATATTATGAAATGAAAACATTCCTTTATATTACATACATTCTATTACTTTGAATATAATATAAACTATTATGAAAATTGACTGAAGAAATAAATAGAATTATAGCTACTCTGGACAATTGGATGAACGTTTCCATTAGATTATAAATGATTTATTATTCAAAATAAATTATAGAATTAAACTATTTATTTTCTCTGTTAAACATTTATAACAGATTTTTATCAGAATTAACCATAAAATATATCAGAAACAATCATTGTATGATCGGAGTACACTGTGATAAAATTTGAATTCAGAGTGTAATAAATACCAAAAAAAAATATGGAAAGGACATTGAAAATTGACCATTTTGAATCCCAGAACCTGAAGACAACGCAAGACTGAGTATCAGAAGGAAAGGAATGGTCTAATGGAATGAAAAATGTTACCATCAAGGCTTTCTATTTTTTCATTAGGTTAACCCAAAGATATTTTTACATTAAATATTTAATATAAATCAGATGGTAGTTTAGATTTATGTACCTGAGTAAAAGTTCCTTAACCTTAATTCTTATGTCTATGGTTTGGTGACTTCCTTAGCATTTACAAAATTATACTAACATCAGCTCCTGATTTCATCCTGATTTAGGCCTTAGATCCGAGGAACTCTGATAGGAATTCATATTTGCAGACTCCGAACTTATGAAACAGTAGTGAAGTTCTCAAATAAATCATGCAGTGTGTTGTTCATACTTCCCTTTTTCATCAGGTCCTCCCTCGACAGACCTGTGGGTTGTTTACCCATACTATTTTCTACAAAGAGTACCCAGGAGGACCTCAGGAATTGGATAAAAGTATCAAAGGAGGTGAACTTTTCCTTACAATCCTTCTAAACCCAGTATGTATTCTATTTATGCATCCTACAATTACATCAGTATTTTCAAGTGTTTTATTTTCAATTTTAAAACTAAATTAGCTTTCTTTACTTTATGGACACCACATCTTTACTGATAGGGGATTTAAATCTACATTCCAAATGGTTTTTTTTAATAAAATTTTACTTCTATGGAGACTTATCTTTTGGTACATCTGATTACAAAGATATGGCTTTTACTTCATGCTGTGGTTGATGACACACTTTTAACTCTAAAAACAAGGGAGATGCAAGTCTTGCATTTTTTAAAGCTAGTTCTTTGCTTTATCTCAGCTTTATTAAAGTACAGTTGAAAAAATTGTGTATTTATGATTATATAGGCTTTCTATACACAATTACTTACATTGACTGTAAATGTGACAATTTAACTTCTTCCTTTCCGATTTCGATAAAATATAGTACAGTAAGTACTATTTGGGATAGAAATGGAAAGCAGGGACATAGTTATTTTATTTTTTATCTTATAAAAGAAAATTTTAGCTTTTCATTCAGTGCAATGTTATTTGAGGGTCCATCATATATTACCTTTATTATGTTGACATCCATGTTTTCTATCCCTAATTTGTTGAGAATTTTAGCATGTAAAGTGTTGGATTTTTGTTAAATGTTTTTTCTGCACCTATTAAGTGATTAAATAAATTTAGCCTTTTTTCATTCTGTTATATCACATTTAATGGTATATCATGGTATTCTGTGGGATTTCATATTTAATATTTCACATATGTTGAATCAACCACCCTTTAATCTCTGGGATAAATCTTGATTATATAAAAAAGGATTCTTCTGTCTATTGTTGAATTTGGTTGGATAGTAACTTTGTTGAGCATTTTTGCATCTAAAGTCATGGGTGGAGGCCTATAACCTGTTATTGTTATGATGTTCTTATCTGTCTTTAGTAGTAGGGCTATTGTGCTCTTATACATTGTGTTTGGCAGTTTCTCTTTAATTTTTTGGAGGAATCTGAGAAGGATTAGTGTTCATTCTTCTTCATATATTTGGTAAAATCCACCAGTAAAATCACCAAGTCCTGGGAATCTCTGTGTAGAAAGACATTTACCTAATGATTTAGTCTTCCTTCTCATTATTAGTCTGTTTAGATTTTCTACTGTTTCATGATTTTTTTGTTCCAAGAATTTATGCCTTTGTTCTAGGTTAACAAATTGTTGGCATATAATCACTCAGAGGACTTGTCTGTGATCGTTTGAATTTTTGTGGTATTAGTTGTTAATGTTTCTTCTTTTTTATTTTATTTATTTGAAAATTCTCTCTTTTTATCTTATTGCAGTTAAAGGTTTATTTATTTTGTCTTTTCAAAAATCCTACTCTTAGTTTCATTGATCTTTACAATTGTTTTCCTGGTATCTGTTTCTTTTATCTATGTTCCAATCTTTATTGTTAATTCTTTCTGTTGACTTTGGGCATAGTTTGTCTTTCTTTTCCACTTTCTCAATGTGTGAAGCTAGGTTATATGAGATCTTTTTTTTTTTTTTTTTTTTTTTGTGCTGGGGATTGAACTCAGGATCTTTAACTTGAGTGGCAGGCACAGCACTACTGAGCTAAATCCCTACCCCTTTTATTCTTAATATAGACAATTAATACTATAAATTTACCTCTTAAAACCGCTTTACAACTTCTTCACAAGGCTATTTGTTAATTCTAGCAGAGAGAAATTAGCTTGTGGCTCCAAAAAATGTGATTCTCTTGTGATATTGAAACAAGAAAACACAGATTTGTTAAGCATGTGTGTAATATAAAAAGTAAGTGTATGGGAAGAAAGGAGCTAAAGGTGTAGGGAAGGTGGGATGGGTAGGGGAAGGGTAAAAAGGGAAAAGAAAAAAATGTGAGATAATGAAAAGATGAAAATAAAGTGTTTGTAGATGGGGAGGGGAGGAGGGGGTGAAGGGAGGGCAGAGGTAAGGGGAAAAAATGAGAATCAAGACTTGTCATGTAGAGGTACAAGATCCCAACAATGAATGTAACTGTACTGTATCCCTAAAATGTACCAATAAACTCAATTAAAGCTGAAAAAAAAAGTAAGTGTAATTCTACAACTTGTTTTTGGTTTCCATTCTTAAATTATAGTAAATATATATCAACATATGAAGTATTCTAGCAAATGATTTGACTAATAGCACGTATTTTGTCCACCAGTAGAATTTGCTTCTGGTCTGAGATATCAACATACCCCTGATCCAGTCTCTAAAAATATTTACAGTGCTAAGATTCTTTGCAAATATATTACTATGTCTGTATTATGTTTATATGCTTGGGGAATCTAACAGTTTTTTTTTTAATTTTCATTAATTTTATTTGGGGTTAAAAATAAAGAAGTTATCCTTTTTCTTTAATTTATTCTTTCATTTTTCAAAATTTGCAATTCTATATATAAAGAAATAGCAATATGAGAGCATATCATCATTAGCTAATATTAGTATTACTTTGGTTTTTAGATTTTTCTCCCATAATGACTTCATTTTGGAGGTCCTGGAGAAGCATATTTTCATTTATACCCCAGTGCACACTGAAAATGTGAGATAATGAGATTTATGCTATGCTCTTCTTCTTTAATGTAAGAAATCTTCATATGTAGAGGAAAAGATGGATATTCTAAATAAAATTATAGCTAAATTTTTCTATAGTGTAGCATAGGGTATATTCAAAATAAATTTTTGTGAAGGTATATACAATAATTTAAATTCATGAAAACTTAAATAAAATCCTACAATATATAAAATTTTAAATGTATTAATCAGTTTGGAGGATGAGGGAATTTGGGTAAAAAACACTTCATGTCTTACAAGCATGAGAGTAATTTAAAAACCTTCTCAAAGTGAAGTATGAAAGTAGAAAGGAGAGCCTGTTGAATTACAGCGGAACGACCTTGGAGCAGGACCTTAGATGTTTTATAATGTTTAGCAAGAATCTGCATTTCTCTTATTTTTTTGTTCTCCTAAAACTCTTGAGGTAAAAAATCCTCAGTGAATCTTAGAGAATCAAACTTAAATCTCAAATATTCCATTTTTTTGGTAGACATTGTAAACTTGACACTGTGTGCATATATTTTTAAAGATACCAAGAACATTATAAAGATAATTTTTGAAAATTGAAGTGTGCATGTGAAAGTTAAGAAAAACAATTATGAATACCTCATCTTTCACCCCTTTCTTCAATGAGAATTTAATCTCATCAGATATCAGTGCCATTACAACATTTCATTTTTATTTTGGAACTGTGTTTTTGATCCCATATATTTTCCTAGCATCTACTAAGGGGAAATCAAGAACTATTAAACAAAGACTATTGCCTCCCCTAAACCTCTTGTCTCATGTTTGATTGCTGTAAGGTTTTACTATTTGGATGGCTATCTAACCACCTGCCATTCAAGTCACAGATTTAAATCTCTTAAATATTATAAAACAACACACTTTATAGGTCATCATCCTAATATTTAAATGCAGTCCTTTAAATAATATTATTTAACTTATAGTAATTCTTCTTTAGCACTTCTGAATTAAGAATACTAAATGGCCCACTCTAAAACGTACTAAATAGGCTTATAATTGCTGGGAGTGATGGCACACAACTCTAGTCTCAGAACTCCTGAGGCTAAGGCAGGAGGATCACCTTTGAGGCCAGCTTGGGCTAGATAGTAAGTTCAAGGACAGATTGGATTAGAGAGTAAGACCCTGTCTCAAAAATAAAGGCCTACAGCAGACCTCCACCACTACCAGGGAGAGCAGCATGACATGGCTGAACCCCACCCCAAGGAGCCCACCAACCCTAGGATCCAGACCTTGCATGACAGAGAGAAGAAAGTCCATTGTTCTGAGCACAGGAAGATGGGATGATGATAAGTAGCAGAATTGAAGCCTACTGAGAGAACAAAGAGAGACTCCAATAAACATGCACTGAAGTGTAGTGACTCTTGCATTGTTGGGGTCAGCACCTCTTACTGGACTTGCTGTGGGGGAAGGACAGCTCCAACATGCAGTAGAATCCTGCAGAATTCAAATCTGAAGGAAGTAAAAAAATTCAACCAAATGACTTCAGACTTAATTGACACTTTCAGCAGAGTAGCAAGATACAAGATAACACTCAAAAATCAATAGCCTTCTTGTACACAAATAACAGACTCACTGAGAGAGAATTAAGGGAAACAATTCTTTTCACAATAGCATCCAAAAAATGAAATATCTAGGAATCAATATAATGAAAGAAGCAAAAGACCTCTACACTGAAAACTACAGCACTCTGAAAAAAGAGATAAGAGGATATAAGAAAATGGAAATAGCACATTTTCCCATCAGTTGGAAACTGCATAAAGAAGGTGTGTTTTATCTATAAAATGGAATATTACTCAGCCACAAAGAATGAGAAATTAGATTCATTCATAGGAAAATTGATACATATTGAGGTTATACTCCTAAGTGAAATAAATAAATCACACATATATAAATACCTAATAGTTTCTCTGGTGTGAATAAACTATAATAGTACATAAGATCCTAATGATATAATGGACAATGTGAAATAGGAAGAAAGGGGATAAAGGTGTGGGAAAGTGGGAGGGGTAGTGGAAATGTAATAAGGGAAAAGAAAAAAACATGAGAAAATGAAAAAATGGAAATGAAGTGTTTGTAAATGGGGAGGGGAAGAGGGGGTGAAGGGAGGGCAGGACAAGGAAAAAAATGAGAACCAAGACCTGTCATGTAAAGGTACAAGATCCCAATGATGAATGTAACTATACTGTGTACCTAAAATGTACCAATAAACTCAATGAGGAAAAAAAAAAGAAAATGGAAACATATGCCCTGCTCCTGCATAGGAAGAATCAACATAGTGAAAATGACCATACTACCAAAACTGCTATACAGATTCAATGCAATGCCAATTGAAATTCCAACAGTATGTTTCACAGAACTAGAAAAAATAATCCAAAAATTCATTTGGAACCAGAAGAGATG